ACCATTTTTTATAATTTAGCGTTTGCTGAAATTCTACTACATTTTTTAATTGATGCGCAATGCAGTGTCAATTATGCAAATACATATGTACATGTATGAACCCTAAGTTGAAAGGTCACAAATTTACTGATATGCATATGTACATATGTACCATTTCGTCAGATCTGCACCGTTGGTGCGGTTTTCAAAAATGAGGTGTCAAATTGTAGGACTTGTCCTTTAAATGCACAATAAGGTTTTACTTTTTTTAGGGCAGAGTTCACACCAGTAAAAAAATGTCATTAAAATTGTTTTTTATTAATCAATGCCAACAGATATGCACCTTTCGTTCGATTTTGAAAAGTGACTAGCCAAATTAATGGGCTTTGGCTGTAGATGTACAATAAGTATTTACTTTTTCGAAAAGAGTTGCAACCTGTTCAACAATTAAATTCAAATTGTTTTAAAAGTAATTTCAATTATTAAAATATGGCTATCAATCGAAATAATTTTGAAGCGGCTTTATTTCTGAAATACATGTAGGAGGGTTACCGCCTCTTTCCAATCAAATTCAATTTGAGTTAAGGGAATTAGTTAATTAAATAAAAGGGGTAAATAAAACCCCCTGAATTTATATGGATTATCTGCTTCTTACTTAAAAGTGCGTGTCAAAAGGTATTTCAATATTTTTAGACCCCTTAAGTAAACTTCAGTAAGATATTCCCTTCCAAGTGTAATTTAAAATATTGGCCAAAGTCATCTGTAGAAATACATATTGCTCTTCGGAAAACCAAAGGCCGCAAACTGTATGTCGACTCTAGTCGCAAGAGCACATCCCTTTTCCCTTCGAACGACTGAGTTTTGACGAAACCGAGCTAGCAATAGTAAGTGTCTTGCATGGAATTTATTAATAAATATATTATAACTATGTATTACCTTTATTCATTTTTAAGCTGCACCTATTTCTGCCATCAAAGATGGGCTCAGCCGTCACGGCTATAAAAAAAATAAATAAACTATTGAATAACACAAATTCAAAGTGAATACCTGAGTTAATATATCCATTTTTAATGTGTCAACGCATTGAATTTAAATGAAATTCTTCTTTATTACGTGTCACTGTCGTAAGTGATACAGGCGGCTAGCTGCGGTGCGCCGTGCGGCATGTGGCAAACGCTATCTGATTATTTAAGCAGAGAGTTTTCAGTTTTCGTTTCTTTTTTTGTCTTTATATGCATGTATGTATGTACATATATGAAGTTACATTAAAGTTCTTTTTTCTGCCGTGTTCACAAGCTCAACGTCCTGTAGTTTGTGAATATTTCATTGTATTTTTATTTATTCTTGTTTTTGGAATGAGATTTGAATGGCTGAGTACTGGCTTTGCATTTTTAGTTTGAGCGTAATTATACGAAGCACGCGCTTTATGGTAATTTTACTAAATGTAGGGGTGGACTTTCAAAGGCATTGCCTGATGGTTGTGTGGCCTTTCGAGCACTTTTAGGAGTTTCACATTTTTTTAGGCGATGAAATGTATAAATAAACATATGTTTGTGTTTATGTAAATACGTCAGGTTTTTTGGATAGCTGCATTTTTTTTAACATTTTTCAACTCTGTTTCTTATATCAGACTTTTCCCCCTTAAGTAGCAATGCTAATTAATACGAAGGCCGGTGATCATATGATAGTTTCTAGTAATATGCGTTTGAATGAAGTCGTTAATGGTCGACAGAAAATTATGGTTTAGAAAGCAGTATGTATACCAAACATGCATGCTTGACTCAATGGGGAAGATTCTCGAAATCAAGTCAACAATGCGATTGAAACACCCAATAAATTCGGGATTCGTAAAACAAAATCTTCAATTAATGCATTATATTGATCAGAGATCTGTAATTAATAATGCAAAGTTTTTCCCCGCTGTTCTTAGTTTAAAACCACAAATATTTCGAATGACACACTAGCGTTCCCCGCTACAGACCAGTGGTATCGTTCTAATTGTCCAAGCCAAATAACAGATATATTTCTTTACGTTTGCGGACTATCCCTTCAATTTGCATGACTCAACTAGTATTTCCATAGGTTGGCGTTGATAAATAGCCGAACAATTGACATTTCCTAGGACATCGTTATGACCAAAACACCTTTAGTTTTTCTAGGAAAAAAAGTTAGAAGACGAGCTAATAGAGCTGCTAAGCAAACTGGCAGTATTCTAGTTCGCAGCGGGCACACGATGATTGGCTTAACATCCACTACTGTGGGTTTGCCTAGTTTACTAAAGCTGTAAACAAATTATTGGAGTCTGTAGTTGGCGGCTTGTTTATCAGAAACGCGTCATAATCATAAACTTCACTCAGCGCTGCTGAAAATGCTCTTCAATTTATACAGACATATGCATACATATGTATGTATGTAAGTAAGTACAGATTCACAGTTTACCACCGGTAAATCACCTTACCTAATCCAATGCGGTGCCAGTGTGGCTAAAGCAGTGTTTGCATTGTTCAACTTTGTGTTCATCCCGTTACAAGGTTGCACGTAAAAAAGTTGAATGGCTAAAAATATCAAAATATTCGCAATAAAAAGGCGTTTGAATTGTTTAAATTTGAATTCAACTTTTGGTTGAACGGCCTTTCAACTAATCGCTTTCAACAAAGTTGGTCCCTAGCCAACTATTCAACTTTTTTTGCGTACAACCCTGCGTTGAGTTGAACGCAAATGTTGAACGTAAAGTTGAACAATGCAAACACAGCTTAAGGCTATATGGCCATGGCAGCAATAAATTTTCTTATGTTTATTTTACAGTTGTTGGCAAATTCACACCTCAGTCGTGTCGATAGCGTTCAAGGCAATGAATCTTTCAACATATAGACTTTTAACTCATATAAAATACACAGTACATACATATGTACTATGCATACGCATACTCATACTCAGGTTGCGGTCCTCTTGTCTTTGTTATTGCCTATCGCAGCACCTAAACAAACTCCCCACTTGAGCATTATGAATCAATGATCACCTTAGATGGATAGAATACAAGATTCGCAGCAAAAAAAAAGCCTGACTATGGCAACTTAACTTAACTTAACGGAACGTAGAACTTAGAGAATGAAAATGAAACAGATTTCGACACGGCATTAAGTTATGTTAAGTTTCGCCTGTTTAATTATAAGCAACACCTATTTAACATAATTTTTAAGAGAGAGCCATAACTTACGTGAAGTTGCCATAATCAGACCATAAGACTTGTATTAACTGGCTGACATTTTTTAAATCAGAAGGCGTATCAAAAATATGCTCCTTTGTCATGTAGGTATTGAGTCCTTCACTTTTGCTCATCGGCTTCCTGTTGCATGGCATCGTTAGATTCCAGAGGGTCCGAAGATTTTAAAATGTTAATACAAACTCTTGTTTTGTATTACCAATCTATGAAAAAGCATCTGTGAAGTGCAGAATGAAAGCGTATTTGAACGAAAAAAAACCGCCAAACAAATATCTATTTAAAGTAAACAAAAAATGGGTTGCTGCCCCTGCTGCATCGCTGTTTCACAAGTTCTAAATTTGTCACCTTAGATAAAGGGATATAATGACATTTTTTTTTCTTTGGACTCACCACATATTCTGTGACTATTTTGGACATACTTGTCAAAATTGGGTATCACAGAACAGAAACGGTTACAGATAAAATAGATAGTTCGATCTATTAGAGAATGTGGACTTAGCAGCAACGTTTCACTCTTAGCTACATAGCGATATGTAGTTGAGTTAAGTTTTCTCAAGTGGACCAACCAAATTTGACTTTCGATTTTTTATACATATGTATGTCATTGGCCGATTTTGAAAGTTAACATGGTGTGCAATATGGAGACTTAAGTTTTTACGCTAATTGTAATTTTGCGACGAGTTCTATGCAAACAATTTTTTATGCAGGCGTTTACACTTTTTGCAATTTTTTTACAGCGATAAGAAAACTTAGTGGGCAAGAAAATAAAGTGGTAATTTTGTAAAATTAATTTTTTTTCATAAAAATTTTTATTTTTATAATCAATTGAATTCTTTTACCAAAAAATTCAAAAATCATTATATCCGCTAAACATTCGATTTTATTTTCATAAAACAAATTACAGTACCTTTGATTGAGCTGAAAAGTAAAAAAAATAATAATATTCGAATGAATGGTTGCTGCATACTGCATACCAATTTGTTTGCAAATAACTCGTCGAAAAATTAAAATTGGCGTAAAAGCTTTGATATCAATATTGCACACCATGTTAACTTTCCAAATCGAAAAATCAACTTTGTTGGTCCACTTGAGAAAACTTCACTCCGTGTAAAATAAATTAGTTTTTTAAAAGGTATATGAGTACATTTATATGTACAGTTCCGAACAGAAGTATTGACACAGTGAATTTTTCGCAATATATGCCAAGTTTTTTTATTCTTATTTGTTTTCGATAATTTTGTATAAAAATATTGTTCATTCTACACCAGAGAACATGATAATAAAATCTCTAAACTTTGTGCAAAACTCAGGAAAATTCATTAAATTTGCACACTAATTTGCAACTTTTTGTTCAGATTTTTAAGAAAAATTCTAAGTATGCAGTTTAAATATACATATAAAAAATTATTTAAAATAAATTAGAATAAAAAAGCTTTGCATGTATTGCGAAAAATTCACTGTGCCAACACTTTTGTTCGTCACTGTATGTACATACATATGTATATGTTTGTGTTTTAATTTTTGCTTTTGTGAAATTAACTTCAACACCCGCTGTTTTACCTTCAAGCAAATTAGTTGTTTTGAAAAGTTCACTATCGAGATGCTGCTGCTTGCCAAATGCTACCTGCTACATATTCACACACATATGTACATATATGTGAATGAGAACATACGTATATAAAACATAGAAAGTAATGCTTCTCTTAAGCATAATGACTTGTTAAAAATTTCGTATAACACATTTATTTTATTTTTTTTTCTAGCTATACAATAAAGTATGAATTTGCACTTTACTCACCGTTAGATCGATGAATGCTCTATGTATGTAAATGCATGACGAAGTATCTGCAAAATAGTCAAAAGGAAAAATAACAGCTTAATTAAAAATGTAATCTTCGTTTGAGTGTACATACAAAGTTGTCTATCTCGCTTAATCTATTAAAAAATATTATAAATAGATATATGTACTGACTAGTTTGTTTAAATTAATCATGGTCATATTCCCGTCATTATTTTGCGAAATTGAATACGATTTACACTGAAATATTGACGTGCAATCTGTAATTTTCTGCTTTCAATATTTCGCTGATACTGAACAGCAACACGACTCTATGTACTCCTTCATTATTTGATTACACCGTGCGACAAAAACAAAAACACGAAAAATCAAAAACACGAAAGAATCGATATACTCACGAAAATATGGGCCAAATATAGTAAAACTGCGTTTTTAGTTTTGAAATTTTAAAGATATAATTGATTAAATAAATATTTAAAAAAAAAACAGTGCAATGTAAAATAACAATATGGGTACCAAATGAGCGAGAAAATTCTGTAGAATTTAAAAACAATAAAGTTTTTTTGCTTTACAAGCACAAAAAGGTATCGAAAATGTGCTTTTAAAAATTTTATCTTTTTAAGTTAATAAAGTTTGCAGGACGAAATTCAATGATGACGTCGTGCGTATATTAGTCCTCAACAAATTAAAAAAAAAAAATATTGCAAATTTTCAAGGATATTTAAGGACAAAGTTTCTAAAGTAAATTTTTCATACCAATTCGTGATTATGCACCGAAAAAAAATATTGTGTTATAATTCTTTTTTTTTATGATTCCCTTATTTTTATCCTACATTGCACTGAATTTTTTAAATAATTTTTTGAAATAGCATTTTGTTTTAATTTCACAGTCCTTTTCAAAAAAGTCTTGACGTGAGAGAGAAAAACTAGGTACGCAGTTTTACTATAATTTAACCATAGTTTCGCGTATATATTAATTTTTTTGTGTGTAAAATTTACTGTCGCACGGTGTTATTGCTTAAACATACAACATGATAGAAAGCAATGGGAATATTAGTAGATTAATGATAAGCATTAACGATATTGCTATATATGGCAATAGAAATATGGGTCAATAGAAAAATATGTATAGTGCTTATCATAACTATACGACACTCAAATATTTACTACTTATTTTGTTATTTTTTAATTTTAATTATATTTTTTTATAAAATTATAGTTTATTGCTTAAAAAAAACCATTTCAATGTGTGTGCAACATCTAAAAAAAATATCAACAAACTTACGTTAAAATTTTGAGCGTTTTAATTCGATTTCTTAGATTTTTTTTTAAATTTTAATGTAGATTTTTAATTTTTTTTTTGTCGACGATGTCGATGCTCGACAACTTTTTTATGGAGCAAATGAGCAATGCCTTCAACAAAAAAAAAAATCCGAAAACTATGGATTTATACGGTTTTTGTTAAGGAATAAAATATTTTTTTATAAACAATTGATTAAAATTAAAAAAGTATAAAATAAACAGTCAAATCTTGTGACTATGTGAGTATCGTAAAGTTATGATAACCACTATGTAAGTACATATATATCTGTTGGAATAGTTACGAGCAAATCGAGATACGTTTGCATGTTTATGCGTTGTACATATACATTAGGGTGGCTCTTAAAAAAATCATATGAACAATTTTTTTCAGTCTTACCCCCTCAATCGGTAAAACCACGGTTACAAATTTCACATATAAATTTTGGCCGACCGATTGTAGTCGGTTAAGACATCCTCATAGGGTAAACTGAACTTTAACCACTGTGCGACACGCCTTAACCGACTTCAATCGGGATCAAAATTTATATTTGATATATTCGTCCATGGTAGCATCGACGTAGGGGTTGAAGCTTAGGAAAACTGATGTAAAATTTTGCTTCCTACATTTAATGACCACCCTAATACACATATTAATAACTAGTTATAACAACATCAATAGCAATAAACTCTTATGAATTCAAATATGAGCCGTTTATTTTGAAAGTTTCATAAGTCACTTCACCGCTTTTGTGCTTTTGTGCTTGTATCTGAACGCGTCCGTTATTCGTTCAACTTTATGCGCCAATGGTAGCGGGTTTTATTGTTAATATACATACGACGATAGAACGATTTACAAATGCATTCGGTAACAAGTAGTTAGCCGGTCATTTACGGCTCGTATATCGAGAGATATACACCATCAAAGTGAGAACAAACTACAGCCCAGCAAAAGTGAAAAAGCTCTTCACAACCTCCACTTTACGCAAAATAATTACATTAACTTAAAAATTCTAATTACTGAAACCAAGCAATCACCTCTTTCCATTTCGTATTAAATAGTCGCTTTTGCACCAGTTAATTAAGCTTAGCTATGCATTTTCTACTTCATACCACTACTACACTACTCAACATTCCATAAACCATCTAAGCAGCCACACCCTTCCAATGGCATTTGTATGTAGATATGTACATACATATATATACTACCGAACCCATCATCCAGCTTTCCAAACTCCTAATCCGCACACGCATTTTGTAATTCCCCGCCTTAACGCACTCACTACAATTTTAATCGCTTTAAATCCGCACAATTGCAATGCGGTGGCGGCGGCGGCGGCGGCGGTGTTGCGCGCACTTTAATTTGCGCATGCGCAGCCACATGTAATACGCTTGATTAAATGCGTGCCACATGATGCATGTGGCATGGCATTGCCGTGCTGTTCAACTGTCTCCGCTGTCTGTTGTTTGCTGTCAGCTTAGTTCACAATCAATTTAAATGCAACGCGTCTGACATTGCAAGCGCAGCATAGGCAACAATGCAACAGTGTAATGGCAAGAACATAGTAGAGCAATAATAAATGCATTGTGCGCAGCTAATGCAACAATTATTTTACTTGTTGCGCTTTAGCAGCAAATTGCACAAAAACTACTTGACAAACACGCGTGTATGTATGCACGTATGTATGTATGTATACATCAACTAGACATTGCATTATTTTTGTCGACGTTTTTGTTTTCGGTATATTTGTTGTTTGTGCTATTTACTTTTTTATTTATATTTTGTTGCGTTGTATGTGTGCATGTTTATTTTCCATTTGATGCACAAAATCAACAAAGTCAATGCAATTATCGCGACAACAATGCAACATGCAACATTAAGGCTACTAGCTTTACATATACATATGTACATATGTATGTAAGTACCTATGTATGCACATATCTTTATTAGCATGTGTGTCAAATGCGTGGCAACCGGCAACTTTGACATTGTCATTCCACTTGAGCGCTTACTCTAAAACTCCAGCTGCGATGCAATACGAATGCTACATGCATAACTCTTTGCTGTGGCACGGCAGTGACATACATACAAACTTATAAATAGATATACTACTATTTATGTAGTGAACAAATGCTCCGCTTAGAGTCTGCACTCATTCGGCTGGATTCGGATTATGACATTAATCAAGTAAGGCACTTTTAAATTTAGTTTTCACGTTTTCTTTCCATTGCAAGAATTTAAAAAGTTATTTAATTTTTTTTTTTTTTCGTAATGCCTATTTATAGACCAAACATTGCAATACTTATTAAATCATACTTCGCTAAAAGGATCGCTTACAAATATTAACTTCTAAATGGTTATGCTACTGTTATTCAGATCTTTTTCGAACTGACATTTGTATCGTAGAATTTGACATGTTTTAACATGAACGTTTCAGTTTTCTAGCCTAATTAATTTGTATATGTATAATGAAGCGCAAGTTTCAGTATTTCTGACACTTTTGTTGTAGCTGATTTTCTTCCACCCTTTACGTATATGGAAGGAAATGCGAAAAAGTCTATTAAACATTAACATAGTTTCTTAACTGAAACTTGAACTTTATAATACGATTTTAACCGCCAGAAGAAGCTGTTACGCGTTGAAAATTCATGTTTTTGAGCTACCAACTTCACTGGCGGAAAAATGCTTCATCAATATGGCTCAATGTTTAGATGGTAAATAAATGCATCAAAAATACTTGAACCAAAAGTTTTGTGCGTAACTTGATAAATTTCCTTGCGCCGATAGAGAAAAGTAAATACAAGTAGGCAAAAGATGTCTTCCTGTGGAAAGAATACCTTTTCCGTTGAACTTTGCGCATACATACATATCGTACACGCTTTTGAAAATAGGCCCAACTCACAAAAAATGTATGTCTGCAGACTTTTTTTGCATAAATCACTTCTGTAACTAGGAATCTACTATTCAACTTAAGTATTTTTGTATCTGTACAAGCAGTTACATATACATATGTATTTCCGGATATGATTATTGAGTTGTGCCTCTGTGGAAAAGGGAGAGCGCATTTGAGCAGCTAAAAAGCATCACCAATGCAGTCGATAATTTAGATTTACATATTACTACAACATTTCCAACAATTTGCCAATAACTGCATACAATTGTAAGCAATTTAAGCTGTAACTGCTTGCTGCATGCTGCAAAATAATGCATAGTGCTAATACGGAAACAGAGGAACTTGAAAGGTTGTTGCTTGTGTGATGCATGCTATCCAAGCAGTTATGTGTCATTATAATAAGTGAGCAATTATCGGGATTGTTCTGGCCATTAGTTGGACTGCTTCGTAGCTTGACTGTCTGATTGCTGTATCGATGTGGTCTTTGAATATTACTTGTGATTGCTAACTGGCCGTTTGGGGCGGGTAGAGGAGGTAATTTCTAGGATTCATATAGTATTACTTACTAAGTACATCGCTATTTCAGCCATGACCAAAACATAATTATCGTAAAATGATACTCGTAAAGCCATCAATCGCCTCAATAGTAATGATAATAACTGCGCAGACAGAGATAAAGAGAGAGAGAGGGAGGGAGATATATATATAAACACTCTATCTGTTGATTAACAATGGTGAGGAATAACGAATCGTTAATGATACCCAAGGCATGAGTGGTGGCATGTGTGGTTTTAGCACAGTGTATATAACTCTTAAGCACTTGTATGCGCATACATACTGTACATAATAATGAC